CAACGACAGCCGTGCAACAAGTGCAATGGAGGCAGCAGCCTCAGCTAAAGCAGGAGAATCGCTGAACCCTCAGCACAGAGCTTGTGCATCTCTCCTCACCCGAAAGGTTCCAGTTGGTTTCCTGCACACTGTCCCTAGGGGCGCCTGCGTGGCCTGCTGACTCTGCAGCATCCTTCACCTTTGGTGCCTACTGCTTAGCTCTGGAGTTTGCTGTGGGAGGGGCCTCAACCCTCCAGGCCAGGAGCCTGGACAGTGGGAACAGATCACTTCAGCTTGCCACAACTGGACCTTTACCATTCCCACCCTAAAAATGGTGTCAAGGCATCCTAAATGCTCCCTTAGAAAATCATGTGATCCGGTGGCGGTGGCACATGTCTTTAATCCCTGCACTCAGGAGGCAGAAGTAGCCGTCTGTGAATTCAAAGCCAGCCTGGCCTACAGAGTGAGATTCAGGGTTGTTACACAGAGAAATTCTGTGTAGAAAAACAAAACAAAAAAAAAGAAAGAAAAAGAAACAAAAAAAGAAAAACACTTGAAAGCCAGGTTTTGTTGAATCATCAACTGCTGGACCAAGAGGAGTTTGCTTAAGGTAGCCATGGAGTCAACAAAATGAAGCAGGGCCTGCCACTTCATGAAAGAGAGGCTATATTGTTCTAGCTACTTTAAGCGACACAGCAGGCTCCTCCTCTCAATCTTTCAGTCTCTATATTTCTCTGTACTGTTCATTGGTATGGGATTGTTGACTGAATCATGGAACAAATACATTTTAAATTTGAAACACCACACACACACACACACACACACACACACACACACACACACCAGTGAGAATTCACTCACACACTTGGATCAATTCCCATGTTTTACACAGACAGAAGCTACCAGATTCAGCATTTAGAAACAATGGAAGATTTACACAGCAAAGGTATAGTCATAGTTACTTTGAAATAGACCAGAGTTGCTCCTTTGGGGTTGTTGATAAAGAGGGTTACTCTGCCACTCTTGCAAAATTGCATTCATTTGATATGGAAATAGACCCTAATGGGCAGCAGTCTTGGTGAACAAATATTAACCAAAATACATCCTCAGTAACCCTAAACTCTTAATTACGGTAAGAAGTACAGTTCTACATTTTTTTTGTTTATAGTTCCTAAAAAAGCTGGTTAGTAATCTACTTATCTCCCAGTCATAGTAGAGGCAGTGTCCCTTTAGTCAAGTTATACTTTTGTATAAGTTAATATTTCCTAAGCAAATTTAGTGATAAATCCTTTATAGCACAGGTTTATTTATTTTGCTCTTCCTTCATCATAAAGAATAAACCATAAACACAGTATATAGCCACAATCTCTATTGATAAGGATTTGGTCTATGAAATTTGCTATGCAGGTTTTGAACTTCTGAACTTGGCAATGGTGTACAGATAGTGCTGTAAGCTAAGCAAAAAACTAAAAGATGACTTCACTAATTTTCAGATCTGCTTGTACACACTGCTATTGGATGATAATAGGACTAATGAGAGCTAGCACTTTAGAGCATATAACCATTTTGTCCCTGGTTAATATGGAATGTTTTATATATTTCTTGAATGCCATCTCTGTAAATTTAATAATCAAATTAGGCTGATGAGCCAGGTGCTGGTGGCTCACACCTTTAATCCCATCACTTGGGAGGCAGAAGCAGATGAATCTCTGTGAGTTCAAGGCCAGCCTGATCTACATAGTGAGTTCCAAGACAGTCAGAGCTACATAGTGAGATCGGTATCAAAAACAGAGAAAAAACATAATTTTAAAAGGTTAGATTGATAAGCTAGCAGTG